TACTACTACTACTACTACTACTACTACTACTACTACTACTATTATTATTATTATTATTATTATTATTATTTTGTGCCTTTGATTCAGTGTTGACTCTTGGCAACTGCCTGGACAAGTCCCTGCACTTTTCTTGGCAAGGTTTCCAGAAGTGGTTTGCCCTTGCCTGCTTCCTAGGGCTGAGAGAGAGGGACTGGCCCAAGGTCACCCAGCTGCTTTCATGCCTAAGGCAGGACTAGAACTCACGGTCTCCCAGTTTCTAGCCTGATGCCTTAACCACTACACCAGACTGGCTCAAACCAGTAAACTATATTTCCTAAAATGTAATGTTATCATTTTGGTCACTTCCAGGAGCAAGACAAAGAAGTCCTTAGGATACGGTGTTTTACAAAAAGAATTATTTGTAAGTGTAATGGGCTGCAAGAATAATCTTGAGGAAGAAGTATTGCAAAATTCTGTTACTGGAAGCTTATAAGGGCTGACACTAAGAGTGTGGGAACATAGTAAAAAAAATCTGTTCCAAACACAATATTTTTACTTCTTCAATGGTATTCTGCAATACCTTGACTCAGAAAGAATAAACTACTGGATAAAACTGTCACGTATGAAGATATACTGACAGTCCCTCCAGAACAATGCAGGCATGATTGCTCTGTCTATACCAAAGGGTTAGAATAAAATATTATTTATTCATAGACTTTAGAATTAATTCTTGTGTACTGGCAGACACCAATCTAATTCAGAATGGTATATACAAAGCAACTTTCAGAAGGTGGCATCCTTAAATAAAAAATACAAAAATATTTGTTAACAATTCTATACGAAATAGATAAGACATTAAATAGAAACAGAATTTGGGGTTGTTCTTCAAAAAGTAGTTATATTGCTCACATAATTTTGTTAAGTTTAAGGAACTCAGTGAAGAATGGTAGGGTCTTGGATTAGTGATGGATAAATTTAGTTTTTTATTTCCACTTAGGTATAGAAGCTTGCTGGATGGTCCACTTTGGGCCAGTCACTATTTTGCAGCCTAATCGATAAAATGTTGTTATTGAGATTAAGAAGAAGGAAAAAAAAAAAAGGACGAGGGAAACCATATACAACTCCTGGAGAAAAGGTAAACAGGTAATTAAACCAATTCACTTTGTGTAGTTTCATGTAAATAGAAAATGAAAACCCACTCTGAACTTTAGGGCTATGCAAATTTTTAAAGGAGTGCTTCGTTTCACCAAAAATCCAAATGCAAAGCATCATGGTGTTCAATTCTAGTAAGTAGAATGGCAAATATGCCTTTTGTGCATGCCTAGAAGCCACCTTTGTCCAGTGAAGTGGCCAATGGAGTCAGACTATCCTAGTCTTGGGGCTCCATGAGGTGCTTCAAGGCATCGAAGCAGAAGGGTGGATCTTGAGAAGCAAAATTCCTCCAGGTGGATGGTCACGGGCTTTAGTTTGTTCAGGTCCACTCAATAGCTTTAAGTTAAAGATGTGTGATACTACACACTGTCAGCAGAGGGCCGCAAAAGATAACAAACACCTTTCAGTCTCAGTAAAAGGCTTTTATCTAGTATTAAATGTAATAGTAAGTTAGAATCTGGTGCTGTACTTGTCTATAATAAAACCCCCATAGCTGAAGAAAGAATTACGTGACAGGGTTGTAAAATGGAGGTTGAAAGAAGAAA